GAATAGCCTCATAGTCAAGATCAAAGATAGGTACATCACGCCTAAGTAGCTCTGCCCAGTTGGGGAACTCAGGAGCATCAGGAAACTTGGCGCGCCAGGCGTCGCTAAGCCGAGCGAAGCAGCGCTGCTCAGTGTGATAACATGTGCACTGGCGACCAGTGCGGGGACCTGTGCGAATGATATAGGGGCAGCGACCAGGATCCCCAGAAGCCCCACGCCCGGCATACCAGTCAAGAAGCTGCTGGGAAGTGGGGGTCTGGCGCTGACGTTGCTGCTGCTGCTGCTGCTGCGGCTGCTGCTGGCCCTGACCACCACTACCACCACCGCTCCCTCCTCCCCCACCGCCGCTGCTACCCCCTCCACCGCTCCCAGTGCCTCCGCCGCCCCCACCACCACCTCCACCGCCTCCACCCCCACGACCACCCCAACCACCTCCACCTCCCCCGCCGCCTGCACCACTGCCACCTCCACCGCCACCCCCACCGCCCCTGCCACCCCTGCCGCCCCTGCCGCTGCGACGCTTCCCACTAGGAGCGAGCAGCAAGGTAGTCGTGAGCAGCAGCTGCGGAGGCGTAGGAGGGGGTGAGAGGGGAAGGGGAGCACCCCTCAAAGAGGGGAGAGCGAGGAGTGCCACGAGCAGCACCTACAGCGAGGATGTTCTTCTCTGCTACGAGGAGGTGCTTCTCAAAGTCGTCGACAGTGAGAGTGGGGGGGTCTAGCGCGAGGAAGTGGTCCCTGACTGAGCTAAGAGTGTCAGGGAGGCGGGTGACGAGGAAATAGAGAGTGAAGTACATCGGGGGGGGGGGGGGGGGGGTTAGCGGCACAAAACTCGGCTGAAAGGGCGGCACGAAAGCGAGTGTCAGTAGCGCGCAGGTGGGAAATGAGGTCCTCAGCAGTGGTGAACGAGGAAAGGTCGGGGAACAGGTAGGGTAGCATGAGCCGACCTATGGCTGCAGTGGCCGGGGAGGAGTAGCGCACAACTACAGCGTCGTACAGCTTCTTAGCAGTTTTGTGCTGGCTGAAATGCGCGCGCTCAGTAATCGGCAGATGGTTCCTAATAGCTAGGCGTGCAGCAGCATGACGAGTTTGCCATTGCGAGCGTTCGAGAGCAGGAGCATCGGCAGCAGGAGCAACGGCAGTGCCAGACACGTAATCGAATAGTGAAACGCCCTCTTTGGCATCGGTCAGAAGGAACAGTTGGAGATCATCTAACCACACAGTGAACTCTATGGGGCGACCGTCAGGCTCGAACGCGAGAACATTAGGGGTCGTCATAATGGCAGTAGGCAGAGGCAGGAGGCAGCAGGCAGCAGACAAGTAAGCAGTAGGCAGGAGACAGCAGGCAGCAGGCAGCAGGCAGGAGCGGCCGCACGCGAGCTCCTAAGGCAGCGCGTTAAGCAGCTGCGGGCCGCGCAGGCGGCCGACGCGACGCGCGGCGCAGCGGCGGGCCGCGCTGGTGACAGACGCGGCGCGCGGGGCGACGGCGGGCTGCACGCGACGGCGGGCTGCGTGCGGCGTCGGGCTGCGCGGGCTCTACGCGGGCTGCGCGGGCGACGCGGGCCGGCGCGCGGCGCTACAGCAGTGGCGCGCGCGCTATTAGGCTAGGCGTGCGCGAAAAAAAAGTGACGCGCGCTGCAGCCGAGGCGCGTGTGGCAGGGCTGACGTTTCAAAAAACGCCTCCCTGTTTTTGACCCGCAATTTTTTTTTTCTACTCTGACGGCACTTCGGCCGCAAAATGGCCACTCTGAGCGTGTTAAAAGAAATCAGGGTTGAAAAAAACACAACTCTGGTCCTTCAGTGTTGGGGAAATGACTTCAGAGTCGCGGTTTTTTTTTTGTTTTTTCCTTCTGGTTTGTCGGTGAGCTTCAAGGGCGAGAAGGACTGTTGCAACATTGGCTCGATTTGGCGCAACTTTGCAAGTGCCAACTGGGCGACCTGCCACGCAGCTGAGCTGGCACAAAACACAAACCACCACTTGGCGCGCGAGAATCTGCCGGTGCCTCCGCAACATAAATTTTCAACCTATGAATCAGGAACAATTTATTTCAAGTGCTGTGGTGCGGAGAAATTTTCGATTTCAGCACCAAAAAGTGCGATACATTACCTGTGGCAAGATATCCTCTCCCACCGATTCGCCGATTTGTTGTGCTATCCGCTAAGACATCACTATTGGGCTTCTTTTTCTAGCCCCACTGTGGGACACAATTCAACCTGCGTGATACTGCCACAGATAGAGTGTATTCAGATATCGCAGCAGGTGCTGTGTGCTTTGCTCACGTGTTGGCATTCGCTGCCACCTCGGAGGTGGGTGTATCGAAAGGAAATTTCGAGGAAGCTTCCTCCCGATAAACTCGCATGCAGTGACCACAGAACGCATACTCTGTAGTGACAGACTCCAGAAATGACTAACACTTAGGCTTATTACACTGAATCAGGGGCCATAAAACAATAACTCTGAGGCTCTCAGTGATGAAAATTTGACTACTCTGGAATTCCATTTTTCACAAACTCGATGGTCTGATCCGTCAGACTAATCAGACTATTTACTCTGATAGCGTCAGCCCTGGCGTGTGGGTAGTAGGCAAGGCAGGCAGTTAGGTGGGCCCGATTCGTAGGTCCTAGAGACCTCCTGCTCTAGTTACCATGTTAAGAACTAAGGCAAGAATTAGTTGATTAGGTGAAGGGTTGGGTACAAGACTAGGGTATCGAGAAAGTTTTGTGTACCCCCTAAGGCTATCCCCAATATAGCCTAGATAATGATATGCATATATTTGACATGGTTGCATTTCGATCGATGAACACCTGTTGGGTTTTGACAGGAAGATTGGGGAGAGGGGGAGAGGTGATAAAAAGGATAGGAATGGAAGGGATAAGATCAATGAGACACTGAGTGAGGTAGCGACAGTGGCCCTCGTGTGTGGGAATGGGAAGAGTTGTGTTTGATCGATGAACAGCTGTTCAAATTGAAAGAAACCAATGGGGAGGCAGAGGTGGGAGGAAAAGGGGAGTAGGGAAGGGGAGGCGGATAGAAGAGAGGGGAGGGGTAAATGGGGAGGGAGATAAGAATGGATTGGGCAAGAGAGGGAGCACGGGGGAAGAAGATCAGGAAGGATAAGAACGAGATTCACGAGGGAGCAAGTAGACATTGGCTCAGAGTGAGAGCTACTTGATGAGACATGGGTACAGGGAGGTTCAGAACGGTTGGGAACTCTCACAGTGGTTGGAGAAGACCTGGGCAAAGGAGGAGAGAGACGTCTTATTGGCCACTTGCTGGATTATTGATTCCATCTGCTCCTCCCAATCAGGATCCGGCGGGTGGCATGATCCAGCCGCCGCCGCAGCAGTCGGACCGACCATTTGCGCCATCTGGTCGGAGACTGCCGGCGCGGGTTGCGCCTCCGTGAAGTTCGCCCCGCTGCCAATGAGCAGACACGCGGTCAGCAGCGCGGCGACGCCGCCGCTTGCGAGAACCGCCCATGGGGTAACCGTATTTCGCGAGCGGGATGGTCATTTCGTCCCAAGGAAAAGGAAGAGAACTAAAAAAACTCGAGCAAACAGTTCTCTTACTCTTCCCTTGAAGAGAAAGGAAAGGGTGAGTACTTACTCTTCTACTCTTCCGTTGAAGAGAAAGGCCTTTCCCGGTGGACTTCGAGCTGAGAACGTCAGCAGCTTTTCTTGCAAAGGCGCGGATGGTGTGGGTGGTACCTTACGCTTGCTACCTATATACACAGCCCACCCTGCCCCCCCGGCTTGTTGAACCCGCGCGCAGCGCAGCGAGCATGATGAGTAAATGATCTTCTCTCATCGCGTCTTACCGCCACGTTGCCGGAACTAAGTAGTCTGATTGGCTGGATCGTATTGCGAGGGCGCGCAAGGCAACCTTCGTCTATCGTATCGGCTCGGTATTTGAAGGGAGTCGAGAGCATTTTAGGAGAAGGTGTTGACGAGATCGGGGGGAAGCAGTGGTGAGTTTCCGCGCAGACAGGCCCGGCGCAACTGGTGGCGGCTTTAGGCTCGGCGGAAGGAGCGGTGAGTTTCCGACTGTTTCCCCCTCATCGGACGCGCAGACAGGCCCGGTGCAACCGGTGACGGCTTTAATTTCAAAGGTCGACGGTTAAGAGCTGGAATGTTGTGCAGCCTAGTGACGGTTGTTGATTGACTCAAGCACGCCAGCAACTGACTGATTTTATCCTTTCTATTACGTTAGTCGACAACTACGGACGCCGCCGAGATCCCGCAGCATCGGCGTGCTGCAGCGGAGAAGTTTCTGCTGCCTCTCGCCCGGCATTTCGAGTCCTCGGCGCTCAAATTATCTCTCATACAGGGGAGATGGATACTCGCGCGATACCCGCGATCTGCGAGATGCATCCGCAATGAGAGGGTTATTGTTGGCTTTATTTAGTAGGAAGGGACAAGAGACAAAGGTTGAGAGAAATTGAGACACACAGTAGCACGGAGGGGGCGAATGTGGGGCGAATTGCGGAATGGGCGACGGGAGCACGAATCGAAAGCAGGATAAACGAAGGTTTCGCGGGTGACAAGGAGGCCTAATTGAGACATAAGATTGGAGGCGATATGCCGATGGAAATTTGGTAACAGCTGGTGCCGTTTCGTCTCCCGCTCCGTACTCTGGTTTGGTGCGTATCGCGGTTTCGAGCGGAAGTTTACATGGTAGCAATTATCATCGCACTCAGTCGCCGATTAAACCGTGCGCGATGTGGCGATGCGGATACCATACACGCACTTACAAAACTCCTACAGAACAAGAAGTTCTCCAAATTACCGTAGCTACAAAACTCATACAAGATCCTGCTTCAACGTAAGGTATGGTACTCTGATCTAAGTCCCGAGACTCTCTTAAACATTGGCACTCTATTAATGTAGTCCCTCATTTTATTCACATACCGTACCATTTTAAGGTCGTTACAACATCCATCAAGCATCACTCCACTCCATCCCCCCTGATTTATTCTCTCTCTAAACTCAAAAACCTAAGGATTCTAATTTAACTTCATGGATTCGTCACTGCAAGAAGACCGGGTGCAGTTGAGGTTGGGCGGCAGGAGCACCATTGTCACCCCATGCGCAACGAAATTATCTGTCAGCGCGGCATTCAGCACGGTCATCGTCGTCACGACCCTCGTCAAATACGACTGGAAAGGCACTATGGTCGCCTTAAATGTCTTGTTTACCGGCAGGTTCGTGTTAAGAGTAGGAAAGAGGGTGCCCGGAGCAGCATTCAGGAGCTGCCCCGCAGTGTAACGGCCCTTGAGAATGTGGTAACGGAGTAACCGACGCTTCTGTCTGCGGGTGAGAGTGTCCCACCGGCTTTCGAATCGCCAGTAGCCGGCGTTGGTGGGGATGAGGATGGTTGCATTCCGATCGATGTAGAGCTGCTCCGTTTTGACTGGCAGGCAGAGGGAGAAATTGAGAGAAGGGAAGAGAAGAGTGAGAGATGAAAGGATTAAGGATCGATGTACAGCTGCTCTGTTTTGACTGGCAGAGAGAAGATCGGGGAGAGGGGGGGAGGTAATACAAAGGAAAGGAACGGAAGGCATCAGAGAAATCAGGCACTGAGTGAGGTTGCTCCAGGGGCCCTCGTGTGTGGGGATGGGAGAGTTGCGTTTGATTAATGAACAGACGTTCAGATCGAAAGAGAAAAACTGGGAGGCCTAAGGAGGGAGGGGAGGGGGAGTGAGGAGGGGGAGTGGGGAGTAGCGAGAGTATAGAAGAGAGGAGAGGTTAATGGGGAGGGAGGTGATAAAGGATTTTGCAAGAGAGGGAGCACGGGGCAAGAACATAATTAAGGATAAAAACAAGATGCACGAGCCAGTGTATATTCGGTCAGAGTGAGAGCGAATTGTAAGAAATGGGTACAGGAAGGTTCGAAACGGTTGGAAACTCACATTGGTTAGAGAAAATCTGGGCAAATGAGGAGAGCTCCTTCTGATTCGCCACCTGCTGGATGATCGACTGCATCTGCGCCTCCCAGTCAGGATCCAATGGTGGAAGATCCTTCCCTGGTTTAGCCGCGGGCGCAACAGTCGGAACGACCATTTTCGGCGACGCGGGTTGCGGCGACGCTGGTTGCGCCTCCGCGAAGTTCGCCCAGCTGCCGCCACTCAGCAGACACGCGACCAGCAGCGTGGCGGCGGCGACACTGGCGGCAGCGCTGCTCGCGAAAACCGCCCACGGGGTAGCACCACTTCGCGTGCGGATCACGGCCATTTTTCTTCCCGAGGGACAGGAAGTGAACTCGAACATTGAGTATCTCCAAAAGATGTCGGAGCGGAGTATCGCCAGGAAGAAAATAGTACAACTCCGAGTGGGAGTCGGAGCTTCCGCTTAGACTTTGGAAGTCAGCAGTTTCTACTGCGAGAAGGAATCCTCTGATCGGCGAGGATGATGAGACTATCAGCAGCAGTCTCTACCACCCTCTCCCTTCCCCCCCAAGCTCCTGTTCGTTCGGCAGTTTCTACGCCCCCCCCCCCCCCCTCCCCCCCTCTCCCTCTCAAAGCTCCTGTCAGCAGTTTCTACTGCGAGAGGTTTCTAACTCCCCCGACAGCTCCGCGCGACCTGAAACGCGAGCGCAGCGCGCAGGCGCCCCAACTCGTCCAAGGAGCGCGCAGGCGTGCGCCACGCGTACGCGCATGCCCCACGCGTACGCGCATCATCGTACGTCTGACCGCGCTTCCTGCCAGCAACCAGGCTGACTGGCTGGATCATATATCGCGAGGGAGCGCAACAACCTGACGTGGATCCACGTCCATCGAGAATGCATCATATCATCTGCAAAACGCAGGTCGGCGTGCGTTGGGTGAAGGAAGCATTTTCAGGCGAGGCGTTGGCGGCGGAAACGGCGGAAGCAGTTGGTGAGTTTCTGCGCAGAGGGGTCCGACCTGGTCGCAGAGGGGTCCGATCTGGTCGCAGAGAGGTCCGACCTGGTCGCAGAGAGGTCCGACCTGGTCGCAGAGAGGTCCGACCTGGTCGCAGAGAGTTTCTGATACTTCCGGCGCAACGAGCTGCGCAACGAGCGGCGCAACGAGCGCCGAGCGGAAAAGGTTTTCACCCAAAATGGCGTTCAAATGGTACTTCCGGCGCAACGAGCTGACGGTTTCTGATAGCTGTACTAGTTTACAGTCGACGGTTTCTGAGTTGACTCGAGCACGCCGGCAACTCACTGTTTTTGTTTGCTTTGTCGGAAAAAGATATCCTAGCTATCGGATTACTCGAGACCTTAGGGTCGCCGCGATGACGCTGCCGAGATTCCGCGGCACCGGCGCACTGCAGCGGAGGAGTTGCTGCTCTCGCGCAACGGAAGTTCGATTCGTCGTTTTCTCACAACATGAAATCTCACCTCACGCCGCGAGCACAGTACACGCACTCTACTACTGTACGCCTACTACCGAGGTGTGTACCCATGCAATACTCGCGACGAGAAGAAAACGCAACAACAGCTGAGGTTGATCGAGTTGGGAAAGTTCAAGACGGGCAGCAGAGGCGGATCAGTGGTGTGGAGGGGGGGGGGTGTGGAGGGAGGGGGGGGGGGTGTGGAGGGAGGTGGGGGGGGGGGGGGGGGTTTTGCGAAAATTGAACGTTGGGCGAGTTGCGAAATGGGTGAGAGGGGCGCAAATTCATTGACGGAAGTGGCGGGGCTTCTGCACGTGAAGAGGAGGCAGCGCAGAGACCAAGCGAGAAGCGAACCGCGAATCGGTACAGATTGTAATATCGTAACAGCAACTGCCGTTTCGTCTCCCGGTTCGTGTTGTCAAACTTTCGTCCTAGAAGTTCGTGGCAATGCTTACAAATTTTGCTGCTTCGATATACTACAGTGTTGAATAATGATAAAATGTCTTCTACTACTACTTCCCTTCCATTATTGCTTAGTAGAAGCCTAACACATTCCTGAAACATCATCGAAAGAATGCCCCTCAACTAATGATGTCGCCTCCAGACTATCCTCTTCAATAGCTTCTTCAATCCCCAGCAGTCGTCGAATGAAAGAGGGATCAAAGATCAAGCACACCCGGCAAAATTTATCGACCAGTGCCTGCTCTTGTTTGGGCCGATTATCTAGGTGAGAGTGAGCGCCGGCATTTGTTCGTCCAGTTAGCAAGCTTTGTTGGCGATCAAATGAATCAAATGAAGAGTTCGTTAAAAAAATATATGGTACTTTGCACTGTACTATCAAACATAGGTACCCCATGAATGGAGTCCCTTCTCTTTATTCCGTAGCCTGCTCCCAAACATTACAACATCCATCCAGCACCACTCACTCCATCCCTCCTGCCCATGCCTGCTTTATGTTCCCTCTACACACCAAAACAAGCGCTTAGACGCTGTTTCGGATTGCTACCGGAATGGATAGTGCCTCCCATTGCGGGAAGACCATGCTCAGTTGAGGTTGGGCGGAATGAGCACCATCGTCACGCCATGCGCAGCAATGTTATCTGTCAGTCCCGCATTCGGCACGCTCAGCGGCGACACGAACCTCGTCGGCGGAACCGACTGGAAGTACACTTCGTTCGGCTTAAGAGTCTTGTTCACTGGCAGGTTCTGGTTGAAAGTCGGGAAGAGGGTGAGCGGAGCGGCGTCCAGGAGCTGCTGCGCAGTGTAACGGCCCTTGAGAATGTGGTAACGGAGTAACCGGCGCTTCTGCTTGGGGGTGAGCGTGTTCCACTGGGTTGCGTAGCGCCAGTAGCCGACGTTGGTGGGGATGAGGATGGTTGCATTCCGATCGATGTACAGCTGCTCCGTTAGGACTGGAAGGCAGAGGGAGAAATTGAGAGAGAGGAAGAGGGGAGTGAGAGATGAAAGGATTAAGAAAACATATCCACCTGGCGCCATTCTGCTCTGACCGAGTGGGGCATGAGAGGAAAATGGCGCCAGGTGAGACACACTGGATGAGGTAGCGCCAGGTGAGACACACTGGGTGAGGAGGCACCAGTGGCCCACGCTGGTAGGGATGCTGGTGGGGATGAGAAGAAATCATTTCTGACCAATAAACAGGCGGGTGCACAACGGTTCAGAACGATACAGCTCACAGTAATAATAACAATAAAAAAATTGGTGGAAAGAGGAGGACGTCCGATCCGCCACCTGCTGGAGGATCGACTGCATCTGCGCCGCCCGGTCAGGCTCCGTGGGGGGTTGCTCAGAGCGGTTCAAAACGGTTGGAAACTTACAGAAGAAGGTAAAGTCCTGGGCGAAGTTGTTGAGGAACGTCTGGTTCGCCACCTGCCGGAGAATCGACTGCATCTGCGCCTCCCAGTCAGGCTCCCCCGCGGTCGAGGAATCGTCCTCCTGATCCTGATCGTCGGAGTCAGGATCGTCCGCGGGAGGGCCGCCTTGCGCGGGTTGCGCGGGTTCCGCGGGTTGCGCGGGTTCCGCGGGTTGCACAGCTTCTTGCGCCGGCGAATCAGAGCTCTGGACCAGCTCCGCCGCCCAGCCGAGAGCCGCGGGGGCGGGTTGCGCGTCTGGCTCGGTGCCCTGTAGCCACTGCACCACCCAGTCGGGGTCCCCCGCGGGCGCGGGTTGCGCGTTCGCGATGTTCGCCCCGCTTTCGCTCAGGAGACACGCGACCAGCAACGCGGCGACGCCGGCGCTGCTAGCGAAAACCGCCCACGGGGTAACCGCATTTCGCGCGCAGATGGCCATTTTCGAAGAATATTCCCAAGGTCGGGAGGAAATTAAAGCACAGCCTTCTTAATAAATGAGAAGGGGAAAAGGATTCACTCAGTGGAAACAGGAGAAATCAACAGCTTCAAATCTCGCTGAATGGTGTGGCTGAAGTCGCTTACGCTTGCTAGTACCTATATACCCATCCGACGAGCCCGAAACGCGAGAGCAGCGCGCAGACGCCCAACTCATCATGCGCCCGGCCCCGCGTCGCTGTCGCCAACCAGTCTGACTGGCCGAATCCTACGGCGACGGGGCCGCGCCACGCAACAAGTTGATGTTGAGGCATCCTGTCGCCTGCCGTATGATCGGCTCGGTTCTCAAAGGGAGACGTGAGCGTTTTCGGAGGAGGCGTTTAAAGGAAACGGGGGGGAACAGTTGGTAAGTTTCCGCTATGAGAGGGGCGGCGCGACGAGCGATGGCGGATTCAGTTTACAGTCGACGGTTGAGCCGAGTGCGTTTGTTGAGTTGACTCGAGCGCGTGACACTAGCAGACCAGAAACTGACTGTTTTTGTCGCTTTGTCCGATAACCTCTATCCTGTCTATAATGTCACTCGACACTTGCACGGAGCTCTGGGCGTTGCCGTGATGGCGCCGCCGAGATCACGCGGCATCGGCGCGCTGCAGCGGAGAAGTTCCTACTCTCGCGCACCAGGATTCCGAGTTCTCGGCGCTTGACGGCAAGATAGCGCAGCGCACTTGGTGCACCCATACGTGAGGCAAAAACTCGTATGGTACTTGTGGCTTGCGGGATGCAACTGCAATGTTAGGGTTGCTGGCTTGCTGAGTAGGGAAGTAGAGAGACAGAGAAAGCAGTGGCGCGAACGAGGCAGATCGGTCGGGGGGGCGAAACGTGGGGTGAATTGGGGGAATTGACGAGGACGACGCGAAATGAATGCGGGACTGTCGAGTGTTGGCAGGTGACGAGGAGACCATATCGAGCCAAAGATTGGAGGCGAACTTTTTATGGGAATTCGGTAACGGAGTGCCGTTTCGTCTCCCGCTTCACGATATCTGACTTGAGTAATGAAGGCATGTAACCATTTTCGCTTCACGGTGAAAATCGTCGCCACACTCCACAGTCGGATAAAAACCATGCGAGACGTAACGATGTGATATGCGGCACGTATCGTAAATCTCGATAACGCTAACACGCCTACCATTCACAATTTGTTACACTAATACTGACGTTTCCTACAGAATAGAAAGTAATCGAGTTAGCTTGAAACGGTGATGTAAACGAATGTGACTGAACTCAAAACAATGTGATCAACAAGAGAGTTAATGTGATAAGTGAATTCTACTGGAACGGATTTCTTGTTTAGGGTACGATGCGGTGCGGTACGGTGCGGTAAGCATGTGTGGTAAGCATGCTCTATTGGAGTGTTCAGTCCATTGAATGCATTTGTTACGAGTGCAATTGAGTGAACGAACGAGAATTGCACTATCGAAGCAAGAGTACAATGAGCGAAGGCATGAGCGAAGAATATATAGTGAAACTACAGTGGTAACGGTAATGGACTGTGGTTGTCGCGCGACGGGCCTGGGACTGAGGTTGGGAAAAGTGTCGAAGCGGAGGCCCGGAGCGCGGGTTACCCGCCGAGCCGTGAGGTCGGGGTGCGACGTGCGAAGGTGGTGGGCGGATTGTCGATGCGAGGATTGCGAGTGGTAACGGTGCTGACTGTGGTGCTACAGTGATGTACGCGTTGAGCAGGGACGCGAAGTAAGGAAAAAGAGATTTTCCTTACACTACCCCCCCCCCCGTAAGGAGGTCCTCCTTACGAAAGTGCGTGTACATCCCTGAAATTCCGGCTGCGCAGATACTCGGTGAGGACGGGGTGGTTTTCGATTCTGTCCAGGGGAACCCAATTGTCTTCGGTGGGTGTACGGTCCTTCCAGCGGAGTAAGAACTCGATCCTTCGGGCTCCTCGAGGGTCGCGAACTCTGTGACTCAGGATTTTCTCGGGGGTGATGATTGGTTCAGTCGGAGGTCTGGTCATGCTGGCTGGGCGATTGCTTGGCAGTTGGCTCGTGGACGGGACGTAAGGGCGAAGCAGGCTGACGTGGAACGAGGGGCTGACGTACCAGTCAGCAGGGAGGAGGAGGTGGGCGGTGACAGGTGTAAGCATGTGGCTTATGCGAAATGGCCCGCAGTATCGGGGGCGGAGTTTCGGGGTGATGGGCAGTCGGAGATTTTGGGTGTCGAGCAAAACTAAGTCGTCGGGCTGGTAAGTGACAGGTCTGCGGTGGCGGTCCGCGTTGCGTTTAGCGATGATGTTAGCTTTTTTAATTGCGTCTGCTGCCCTGGTTCGTGCTGCTTGCAAAATTTCGGCGAAATTTCGGCAAAATTTCGCGTGGAACCGGGTTGTCGGGATTCGGGGTCATGGGTACTGTTGGGTCTTGTCCGTAATTCAGGTAAAACGGTGACTGTTGGGTCGTGGCGGATGGCGCGTTGTTGTATGCGAATTCGATGAGTGGCAGTTGCTGTTCCCACGGGTTTGGGTCGTCGCACGTGGCCCGGATGAGCTGTTCCATGGTCTGATTTGTCCGTTCTGTCTGTCCGTCTGTTTCGGGGTGGTACGATGAACTAAACTGTAGTCGCGTGCCGAACTGCTGCCACAGGTTCCGCCAGAAGTTGCTGGTGAATTTCGTGTCTCTGTCGCTGATGATTGATGCTGGTATCCCGTGCAGTCGAACGACGGTAGAGATGAAGAGGCGGGCTGTTTCTTCGGCTGTGATTGATTTCTTGCAGGCTGCGAAGTGTGCCATTTTCGTCAGTCGATCGACGACGACCAGGATCGCGTCATTTCCACTCGCCCCGGCCGGTAACCCCGTGACGAAGTCCATCGTCACCTGCTGCCAAGCACGCTCTGGAGGTGGGATTGGCTGCAACTGTCCCGCCGGCCGCTTCCGTGTTGACTTCATGATCTGGCAAGTGGGACACGATGCCACGTGTCGCTGCACGTCGGTCAACATTTCGGGCCAGTAATAATACCGCTGCAGCTGCTGCCGTGTTTTCTCTACCCCGAAATGTCCCGAGGTAACCCCGTCGTGTGCCTCCTGTAATAGTAATTCCCGTAGCAGTGTGTACCCTGGTACCCAGATGCGGTCGGTCCCGGCTTTTACGTAATAGACTCCCTTGGCTGCTGCGAACTGCTGCGAATTTCCTCCTGTGAAGAATGGGTCCTTTTGATATCCGTGGGTAAATAGTCCTGTCAGTAGCGGGCTGGTCTGGGCGAGTAGTATCGCGTGGATCTGGGCAGTGGGGGGGGTCAGTGCGTCGGCGATGTTCGAGGCTCCTTTTTTATAGGTGACTGTGTAGTGGAAGTTTGACTCGAGGAAATCGAGCCACCGAATCTGTCGTGGGTTGAGGTGGGGCTGTGCGCGGAGGTACTGTAGTGATCGGTGGTCTGTCCGTACTGTCACGTCTGCGCCGGTCAAGTAGCAGCGCCACACTTTGAACGCATGCACGATCGCGAGCATTTCGCGGTCGTGTATCGGGTAATTTCGCTCGGGCGGATGCAGTTTTCGTGCCTCGTATGCGATGGGCTGTAGGCCGTTGCCGAAGTCCTGTAGCAGTACGGCTCCAATGGCGATGTCGCTTGCGTCTGTAACAACTCGAAGGGGCGGTGTGGGTCGGCGATGCGCAGGACGGGCGGTGAAAAGAGAACATTTTTCAGGGCAGAGAAGGCAGCATGCTCTTTCTCCCCCCACATAAAAACGACCCCCTTTCGCAGTAAATCCGTCAGCGGGGCAGTCAACTGTGCCATGTCGGGGACGAACCGACGAACATAATTAACGAACCCTAAAAAACTCTGCAGTTCCGTGATGTTCGTCGGGGGACGCCACGCTTTTACCGTATCCAGCTTCTGTGGGTCGATTTCAACTCCAGCCTCCGAAATAACGTGCCCCAAGAATTCTAGTTTGTCCCGAAAAAACTCGCACTTAGAGCCCTTGGTTAGTAATCGATGTTCCTCTAAAACTTTAAATACTGCTTCGAGATCCGCTAAATGCTGCTGCTTGTCGCGACTGTAGACGAGGATGTCGTCGAGGTAAACTATCACGCATTTATCTAAGAGTGGCCTAAACGCCTCGTTCATGGTCATCTGAAATGTTGCGGGCGCGTTGGTCAGCCCGAAAGGCATCACCGTGTACTCAAACGACCCGTACCTAGTCCTAAATGCTGTCTTGGCGCAGTCCGATGGTTCGACCCGAATCTGATGGTAACCCCCCCGTAAGTCTATTTTCGAAAACACCCGTGCTGTTCGCAGTTGGTCGATCAGCTCGTCGGCGCGGGGAATGGGGTACCGCGACTTGACTGTTACCCTGTTGAGCGCTCGGTAATCGATGCACATGCGAAATCCTCCGTCTTTTTTCGGTGTGAACAGTATCGGTGCGGCGAACGGTGACGAACTTGGTCGAATAAACTGCTTCTCTAACAAATAATCTAACTGCTTCCTCAGTTCGTCGAGCTCGGGCTGTGTCAGTCTGAACTGGCGCTGTACAGTTGGCTGTGCCCCCGGTTCTAACTCGATCCTATGATCATGCGCCCGCTGAGGTGGCAGCCCTTCTGGTAAGTCGTCTGGAAAAATCCCCGAGTACCGTTTCAACAGTTCCTGTAGTTCGGGCGGTACTGCTGCCAACAGTTTCTGAAAATCGCTCGGCTGCTCCGCTTCTCCTACTAATGCTATATCTACTGCGTACACGTCAGCTCCAGCGGCGACAACCCGTTTCATCGTGATGGCATTGACGTGGACCGTTGAAGACTCGGGCGACTGCCAGCGAGGTAGCATGACCCAGTTACCGCTACTTCGCACAGTGCAGCTACCCGTCGTCCAGTCGATTCGTGGGTTGTACCGTCGTAGCCAATCACGTCCCAGTAAAACATCATGTCCATCCAATGTCGTCGCGAGCATTTCCTGTGTAAACCCGAAGTTTCCCCCGCAGCGAACTTTTACTCTCTCCACCTTCTCCCGTATGGCCAGCGGCGTGCCGTCAACTAAGCGTGCGTCGATCTCAGGTAAGCAGCGACTAAGTGTCAGTTGTAATTTTCGCGCAGTTGCGGTATTAACTAAACTGTGGCTTGCTCCTCCGTCAATAAAAATCTTCACTGCTGCTCCCTGTATTTTCCCGTGGATCAGTACTGGGCAATCCGTCGTTGTACCCTCCTTATTCATCCGAGCCCGATCGATGGCGTGAATCGGTACTGTGACTCGGTGAGGGTCGGTGCGGTTGGGCAAGCAGGCAGTCTCGTCAGTAGTTGGCCCAACTTCTACTGACTGCTGGCGTTTCCCTGCCTCTGAGACTCCCTCCCCTGCTCTGCTCCGCGGCGCCTTAGCTCCTCTGGGCATTCGCTCTTGCGATGGCCCGGCCTGTTGCAAGCAAAGCAGCGCCCCTTAAACTGTGCGGCAGCTGCATTCGTTGCAACAGCGTTTACAGTGGCGTGCTCGATCGGTCCCCGAGGACGATGTCCGTAGTAGGACCCCGGTCTCGGTCGGCGTAGAATGTCGATTTTCTCGGCGAGCGCGAGAATCTCGTTGAAGTTTGAGAGTCCTCGCAGCATGATTTCGTGCGAGATATCCGGCTTCAGCCCTCCGACGTAACGGTCCACCCGCTCCGCTTCGTGCATGTAGCCTACCTGCTCGCAAAGTTCGAGAAAACCGCTCGTGTAATCTTGAACCGACCCGAGCTGCCGCCAAGTGCGCAATCTCTGACGCGCCGAAATAGAAGCCGCGATCGGCTCGAAGCGCGCCCGAAGCCCTGCGCACCACGCATCCCACGTGCTGTATTGGGCGGTCTCGCAGAATGAACTCCAGGTGACAGCTGGACCCGTGGGCCCTTCCTCTTGCGACGGTGGCTCGTAGGCGCGTGGCGACGTCACGATGACTCGCCACCAGTCCATGGCGGGGCCCCTTAACAGCGAAACGGCATACCGAATCTTCGCTGCGTCCGACTCGACGTAATTCGCGTCGAAGAAGACGTTCATCGTGAAAACCCACGATTGAACCGTCGGACCTCCACGCTGGCTCGGGTCGAAACAGGGCGGGCGTTGCGGCTTGAGTGGCATTGGTGCCATGATGGCCTGTTCGCCACTTGTCGCCGCGAACTCCACGTGCCGACGGGCTTCGCGAGGCTCCCGCGGGCTTGGCGCGCCCCTGTTTCCTCCCATGCCAGGCATTGGTTGGGCGGCGCTATCACTGGCTGCGCCCGAGCGCTGTCCCACGCTGTCGTGTTGTGTTGGTGTCCCAGACGAGATGACGATTGGCTCGTCCGATTGTGCAGGTGCATTTGTTGGTGCGTGTGGTGCTGCTGGATTGTTCACCGTTGATTGCTGACGCGCGGAGTCACGTTCCGCTGTGAGCATCGCAATTTCGAGCGCCGAATCTTCGAGTTGGCGCACCAGACGGTCGAGCTGCTCCTGCGTCAATGTGGCGAGCGTGAATTCGGCCATGGCGGGGGTGTCGGGCGAGCTCAGCGAGAGCCTCAGTCGTGGCCGTGCGTGCTTACGAGAGAGCACTACGAGCGGCGGTGCTGTGTCGCTGAGAGACGTCTACCCCCCCCAAAAATTGAGATAGTGGGGAAGCGAAGGTGTGGGTGCGGTCCGAGAAGAGGTCGTAGGCTCTGAATACCAAGTGTTACGAGTGCAATTGAGTGAACGAACGAGAATTGCACTATCGAAGCAAGAGTACAATGAGCGAAGGCATGAGCGAAGAATATATAGCGAAACTACAGTGGTAACGGTAATGGACTGTGGTTGTCGCGCGACGGGCCTGGGACTGAGGTTGGGAAAAGTGTCGAAGCGGAGGCCCGGAGCGCGGGTTACCCGCCGAGCCGTGAGGTCGGGGTGCGACGTGCGAAGGTGGCGGGCGGATTGTCGATGCGAGGATTGCGAGTGGTAACGGTGCTGACTGTGGTGCTACAGTGATGTACGCGTTGAGCAGGGACGCGAAGGAAAAAGAGATTTTCCTTACAGCATTCTACACAGGCCCCTAGATTCGTTTTGAGGCACGCTGACGGCACAGCGTGCATCCCTCCTAGTACTCTGTCTGTCAGTGTTGCTTCAAAATTTTAGGCTGGAGATTCAGAGACACACAACTTTCCAAGGCTGAACAAACAGCGTTATCTTGAAATTTCTGACTGATCATGCAGGAATGTAAAACCCTCTGTTATAAACATTCCCTCACATTCACATATCTGAATCAGAGTCTGACTGATAACGTTCTACAGGGGCACGATCAGCTACTGGCTCCTCCTATACATGCTCCTTGCCAGCTCTTGGAGGGTCCCTGTGTCTTGCAGCAGGTGCTGTGACTGGACGGCGCTTCTTGTAGCTGCGCCACACTTTAACTACTCCTGGCAAATCTAGCTCGTAGTCTAGTAATGACATGCACAACAAATCACTTAGCCTGCAGTCCTTGATACTGCCTCTTTGCCACGTTTTGATGAGGTTCTGTCGAGAGAAGCCTCTCTCACACTCAACAGTGCTGAGAGGAAACACTGCTACCGCCACCCAGAGGTTGACAAGGTTGGGGTATGCCTGCTGCCAATCGGGAGTCTTGAGGATGGCTGCCAGTCCCGAATGGAACTTCCTCTCGATCTTTGGAGCTCTGGCCAAGACCGGGCAAAGAGTCCTCAACTCTTTGACCGCCCGCTTTTTGTCAATGCCTGTGATATAAGTAACAATGGGGAGGGTATTAGTTTAATACGAGAGGGCAAGTGTCAAACGTGTTCACCGAATGACCAAGCAGATACTAACCTGGCAGAATCTCGGGAGTGAGCGACAAACAAAATGCAAATGTGAGGGCAATGTTTTGAAAAATGACGAAACACATGAAACACATACGTGTTGTAGTACGTGCCGTAACCGTTCTCCGGAAACCCGGGCACCTTTTTCTTCGCGAGGTAGCGCACGAGCCGGATCCATGAGTCCATGGGCTCGTTGCACTTGCTCATGAAGTACAACGACTCCGCTAGTGCCGACATCTGCACCATCTCCTTGTCCTGCGCCTTGGGGTGTAGATCGATGCGGCGTTGTCCCTCCACTTTCTGCAGCAGGTCGTCCTGCCTTTGCAATGCTAACCGATGCTTCGAGGTACCCTCATGCTTCTTGAAGGCCTGCGTCTGCACATCGGTAGCGCCTTCTCCACGCCGTCCACATTTGCCTGCCAATCCCGCGAATTCCATGCAGATGCTGCACTTAAAAGAGGGGGCACCAGCAGCAGTCATAGTTAGTATCAGCCATGGATAATCTGTACACCACCTCGACTTGAAACGGTCGTGCGCTTCTTCGTAATTCAGCACAACTTTTTCGGGACGGGGTTTGGAGCTGTCCTGATTGGGTGATTCCTCCGCCACAGGAGCATGAACACTCGAAGCAGGTGGTGGAGTTCCCCACGCAATGGTTGCCTGCCGTAAACGCAACTTCGGTAGTGGCGCTTGACGGGATGGAGTTTCGTCGGACACCTCATGTAGCTCCGTCCGAGGCGTGTTTGTCACATGTTCTGTGGCGGCTTCGGGCAGAGAATCCAGGTGCACAGATTCTGGAGCGTGACTCGTGCTGGGCAGAGACGGTGCCGCTGGCGGTGCACAAGGCGTAGCTAAGGACGACTTCAGAAAGTCGAGGCCCGTCGCCATGTCGCCTAGACGGCGACGACCTACATCGTCGTCGTCGTCCAGCTCGTCCGCAGCAGTGTCCGTGGCAGCCATTGAGTCTGCCGAGCTGTGTTTTGCTAGGTTGGGAGAAACTGCCTGACACGAGGGATCAGGCAGTAGTAACAGGGGATGGCAAAGATCTGAGGGAGAGCCAGGCGACAGAGGGAATTGTAGGAACGGTCACGCTGAGTGAGTTGAGGAGGTCCCCTTTTAGGACCTCCTCAAGATGAAACCCTCACTGCTCCATGCATGTACGTCACCTGGTCGTGTATGCAGCACAGGTGGGGTGGGGTGGATGGTTCTGGTGTCGTGCGTGGCGCAGCGCGCTGCGAGCTATGTGTTGGCAAGGAATGTTGCCAACGCTGGTTGCTGCACAGTCCCGATTGGTTGGAAATGTCGCTGATGGCATCTTTGCTGTACCAACGCGACAGAGCGGTGCCGCGGTGGGGAAATACAATTTACCGGCCGTGATTGACGGTGTTATACCTACACACCGCCTTGCTGGCCAGAATCCCCGTAATCCCGGTTTCAGAGTGCACCCCCGATAGTACGCTGAGGCACAGCGTACACTCAAACTTTAAGGCTGTAAAAACAGAGAAGGCATAAACAAATACTCTGGAAAATCAGCCAACATACATATAAAAAAACTTCGACTTCAGAGGAGTGTATAAAAAAAAGTCTGATCTAACGCTGAATCAGCGTAAAAAGTCTGATACCTAGGGCCCTGATTCTACAACAGTTTTTCCGAAGGTGGAATGCATGTGCCATCATTCATTAACTCCAGTGGAATTTATTGTCCGTCTCTTTATTCATAAAGCCTGCTCCCAAACATCACAACTTCCATCCAGCATCGCTCACTCCATCCCCCCGGCCAATCCCTGGCTTATGGACCCTCTATACTCCAAAACAAGCGCTTAGCTGTTTCGGATTGCTACTAAGTGGATAGCACCACTTCTTGCAAGAGGACGAATGGTTGGGCGGAATGAGAACCATTGTCACTCCATGCACAGCTATGTTATCTGTCAGCCCGGCATTCGGCATGCTCAGCGCATCGCCTCTTCTTGCAAGAAGACAAATTCGTCTAGTTGAGGTTGGGCGGAATGAGCACCATCGTCATGCCATGCGCAGCAATGTTATCCGTCAGTCCCGCATTCGGCACGCTCAGTGGCGACACGAACCTCGTCGGCGGAACCGACTGGAAATACACTTCGTTCGGCTTAAGAGTTTTGTTCACCGGCAGGTTCTGGTTAAAAGTCGGGAAGAGGGTAAGGGGGGCGGCGTCAAGAAGCTGTTGCGTGGTGTAACGCCCCTTGAGAATGTGGTAACGGAGTAACCGACGCTTCTGCTTGCGGGTGAGTGTGTCCCACTGGGTTTCGTAGCGCCAGTAGCCGACGTTGGTGGGGATGAGGAGAGTTGCATCCTGATCGATATACAGTTGCTCCGATTGGACTGGTGGAGGGAGGATTGGAAAGAGTTGACAAAACGGATAGGAATGGGAGGTGTAAGAGCAATTAGACTCGGAGTGAGGCAGTTCCTGTGACCCCTCATTGGTGGGGATGAGAATGATTGCATCCTTATCGGTGAACAGCTGTTCAGATTGGACTGGTGGAGGGAGAAATAGAGAGAGGGGAAGAGGGGAGGGAGAGATAAAAGGATTGAAATGAGCGATAAGGTGCCAGGTGGGACACTGGGTGAGGTGGCACCAGTGGCCAATGAAGAGAGACGCTGGTGGGGATGGGAAGGAATCAGATCCTGGCCAATGAACAGGCACCCCGATTGGACTGGAAATGGATACAGAGAGGTTCAAAACGATTGAAAACTCAACAGTAACTGGCGACGATCTGGCCGAAGGAGGAGAGGAAGGTGCGATTGGCCACCTGCTGGAGGATCGACTGCATCTGCGCCTCCCAGTCAGGCACCTCCGCGGGGGAAGGGGGTGAAGAAGGCGGGACGGGGCTCAGAACGGTTCAGAGCGGTTAAGAACTCACAGAAGCTGGCGAAGATCTGGCCGAAGGAGGAGAGGAAGGTGCGATTGGCCACCTGCTGGAGGATCGACTGCATCTGCGCCCCCCAGTCAGGCTCCGCCTGACCTTCCGAGTCTTCGGGGTCAATTTCTCCAGCAAATTCAGGACGCGAATCGTCCTCCTCATCCTGGTCATCCGAGTCGGGATCGTCCGCGGGGGGTTCGCCTTGCGCGGGGGGGATTTGCGCGGGGGGGATTTCCGCGGGGGGGCCTTGCGCGGATGCGTCTTGCGCCGACCAATCAGAATTCGGCATCAGCTGCTCCACCCAGCCGAGATCCGCGGGGGCGGGTTGCGCGTCTGTCTCCGCACCCACTGAGTCGGTGGTCTGCAGCATCTGCGCCACCCAGTCGGGGTCCCCCGCGGGCGCGGGTTGCGCGTTCGCGAAGTTCGCCCCGCTTTCGCTCAGGAGACACGCAACCAGCAGCGCAGCGACGCCGGCGCTGCTCGCGAAAACCGCCCACGGGGTAGCCGCATTTCGCGCGCGGACGGCCATTTTCAAAGTCTTCCCAAGGTCGGGAGCGACCTAACGCACAGCCTTCTCAATAAATGAGTACAAGAGTATAAATGAGTGTTAATTGATTAGGAAAACACCCTTTCTCAGTGGAGACGGAGAACTCGACAGCTTCGAATCTCGCCGGAATGAAGACGGTGTGGCTGAACTAGCTCACGCTCGCTACCTATATACCCACCCGGCGAGCCCGAAACGCGAGTGCAGCGCGCAGACGCCCCAACTCGTTTTGCCCGCGCGCAGCGCAGCGCAGCGCAGCGCAGCGCAGCGCAGCGCGCGGATTGATGAGTGGAAGCGCGCATCACTCATCATCATCATGCGTCCTAGTCCGGCTCTTTGAATCCTATTGGTGCAGTTGACGCATCCTACTGTCAAGAAACGGCCCCGCGTGCGAGGTTGGGGAGCACTCTCAGACGAGGCGTTGGCGAGAACGGGGCGAAGCAGTTGGTCAGTTTTCGCGCAGCGAGTTGGGGGAAGAAGGGCCTTACTAGTACTTTACAGTGACAGTTGTTGAGTTGACTCGAAAACGTGACTAGTAGCGACCAGCAACCGACTGTTTGTGTCGATTTAGCCAATAAGCTCGATCCTTTCTATAATATCACTCGACATTTGCATGTAACCCTGAGCGTTGCCGCGATGACGCCTCCGAGATTCCGCGCGGAGCGCTGCAGCGGAGAAGTTGCTGCACTAGCGCGCACCAGGAGTTCGAGTCCTCGACGCTTAACAACATGACAGCGCCGCGCACTCTATACGCCCCCATACGTGAGGTGAATACCGTGTACAATACTACTTGTGCGATACTTGCGTCGCTGCCTGCGAGATGCATCCGCAACGGTGATAGATAGAGCCGTTGGCTTGCTCGAGTAGGGACGAGAGAGGAGGTTGGATGGAGAATTGAGATATTTTCTGAGAATCAGTGCAGTGTAGCGCGAAGAGAGATGGCGGATCGATTGGGGCGAATGCGGGGCGAGTTGCGGAATGGGCGAGGGGGGCGCGAATTGAAAGCAGTATTGGCGGGGCTTTTGCGGCCGAGGAGGAGCGCCGAACCACCGAGCCCAGGTTTGGGTTGGAGGCGAAGTGTTGAATGGAATCCGGTTACAAAGTGCCGGTTCGTCTCCCCCTTCGTGCTGTTTAAATACTCCTATATTTTCGTGTAGAACTTCACTGTTACAAACGTTTCCCATACAAGATGTGTATGTGGAAAAAAATGCTGCTTCAGGATATTGCAATGTGATTAAATGCCTTCTAGGACCTCCCACTTCCATTTCACGTCTTTCTTTGTAGAAGAAGCCAAACCCGCTTCTGCTGCAGCATCTCCAGCAGCATTGGAATGTAAAACCCCCTCAGCTTCTACCGCTGCCTTCAGTCTATCCTCTTTAAGAGCTGCTTCCACCTCCGCAACAGCTGCCGTATGAGTGGCGATTATAGCCCCCACCCGCGCCTGAAGCCTCCGAGCCAAAGGCTCGTGCCCCGAGCCTGTCAGCAGCTCCAGCAGCTGCCGAACCTCCTCCAAGGTTTGGGAGGAGGGGCCGAGCATGCGAATGTGCTCGACCAATGCTTGCTCCTCGTCAGGACTGGAATGGGAGGGAGAAGAGAAGAAGGAAAGGAGAGGGGGTTGAAGGGTGGGGGGGGGGGAGGGGGGTACGAGTCAGCTATAAGCAGCAACTGACGGGCCGAAGGTGCAAACATGCTCGACCAGTGCTTGCTCCTCGTCAGGACTGGAATGGGGCATTGGAAGAGAGATGCGAGTAAGGAATGGGAGGGAGAGGTTTATGACGAGTCAGCTGAGTAAAAGGCAGGGTGAAGCATGTGAATGTGCCCAGCCAGTGATTGCTCCTCGTCAGGACTGGGAGGAGCAATGGAGGAGAGAAGCCAGGGAATGGGAAAACGATATGCACGAGTCGGCGAAAACGAAAGTGGGTCAAGGCGTCTGAATTTGCCAGTGCTTGCTCCTCATCAGGACTGGGCCAATGTAAAAGAGAAGCAGCAAAAGGGTTTGTTTTGTCAGCTCCAACAACTGAGCGCCCGAGCATGTGCATGTGCTTCACTAGCACACTTCTAGTGATATTTTTTAATATTAGTGGTATTTATTTTCTTAATCCGCCCCCCCCCCCCCCCTCCCCCCCAAAAAAAATGATGGACAGGCACCCTTGCGGTCATTCCCCAACCCCAAAAGTGCTTGAGTAGCACACTTGCCCACCCCAGAACCCCCCGTTCCCTTCCCCAAGCACGACCCTTCATCTGACCTGCCAGCGCGAATCCGCCTCCCCTTGTCGGCCTTCTGTTGTTTTCTCCTGGCCGCCCTACCACCCGTCTTCTTGCTCGTGGCGGTCCATCCACTGGCCGTGCTCACACGAGACGAAGAGCTGTGGCAGGAAGTGGGGGGTGGGATGAAGGGAAGGGAAGGCGGTGGGGAAAGGGAAAGCGGGCTGAGAAACCTCACAACCTGCTCGTGGCGGTCCACCCACTGGCCGTGCTCACACGAGACGAAGAGCTGTGGGTGATTGAAAGACGGAGAAGGCAAGGGGATGGAGGGAGGAAGGAGTGGAAGCTACGTGTGGTGGTAGGGGTTGTGTGTGCTTCTCCTGGCCGTGGCACCTCTACCCATGCTCCCTACATCATGGTTCACTTATTATGCTATAAAGATACTCACGATATAGTGCACTTGCTTACCCTGCAGTGTAGGCACTCAAGCCAGTAACGCCGCTAGCCATGCTCCCCACATCACTCGATGCCATAGATGCAGTTTCTGAAGCCTCATCCATCCCCATCCCCCCTCCCCCATACTCCTCCCCATACTCCTCCCTCCTCCTCCTCTCCACCTCCTCCCTCTCCAACCTCTCGGCCTTGAGCTTCTCCTCCATCTGCACCCGTTTGCACCGCACTGCACCGAACCGGCGAACATAGGCTGTTAATTTCCCCTGTGTTTCATCCATGTCTGTTAGCATGCCCCTTGCTGCTTCTACTGATGCTGGAACGATCAGCGAATCAAGAAGCGACACCTGTCCACTCCTCCCCGCCTCCTCCGCTGCCTGCTCCCAACAATGCGCCTCCACTAAAAGACGAATTCCGCCGCCCGAATCCCCCTCGTACTCAATCGCCAGCCGCCCAGCTTCTGCCCTCCTCCCAACCTCGACAAGCTCTTCCCGAAGCTCCTGTGCGAGTTTCCGAACCTCAGGTTCGGGGAATCCGAGCCTGGCTGCAGTGGTAAGCGCCTTGCGCCACTGCCCAGCCTGGCGGTAGGCCTGGAGCGCACGAGGCAGGTTGTTAGCTCCGGTAAAGAGAAGCGCAGCTTCGGGAAGCGAGGCCTCGGAGGCTCGGGAAAAGAGGTGCTCTGCCCATTGGTTGAGAATGGAGGTTCGGACCGAAGCAATGGTAGGTGTGGAAGAAGCAGCGAGAGAAGCAGCAGAGGAATCTGACAAAGAGGAGGATGAGGGGGAGGGGTGAGAGGCGATAGCTGTGGCAGTGGCAGCAGCAGCAACAGGAAACAGTCTATCAGGGTGTGCTCGCAGCAATGCCATTACCTCCTCTACTAGCCTCCTCGCCTCCTGCCCTGCTGCCTCACTCCCCTCTCCCTTGCCCTGCTCCCTCACTTGCTCCTCTTTCTTTTCCTCCTCTCCCTTCCCCTCCTCTCCTCTCCCTACCAACAGCGAATTGGACGCTACCATCAGCGGCGAATCAGAGGCCACCAGCTGGCCAACCGCCCCTTCCAGCCTCCCGAGCCTCACATCGATCCTGAGCCGCCGGTTCGGCGGAGGCTCGGCGGCCAAGCCTCGGAGGATCGGGAGGAACTCCTTGGGGTCTTTTTGGGACTGGGCGTGGGCGGCTACTAAAGCAGCGAGGTTTAAATCGTAGAGGCCTAATGCGGAGTTAAAGACGTGATCTGGGGAGGTCAGCCACATGAGATGCTTCAAGGAAGCTTCCACTGAGAGGGCGAGGAGGAGAGGGGTGGGGCGAGTGGGTTCAGGTTGAACTGCAGGTTGGCGAGTAGGTGCAGACCAGGACCCATCCACACGCTCATCTTTTGTCAGACCCGCACGCTCATCTTTTGACCTGTCTTTAGACAAAACCACTTGATCATCAGAGCTCCGCTTTGCTTTGATGCGCAACAGGGCTTCTTCCAGCCTGGGCGGCACACTGCACGCATACGTGCTCAGCACACACGTGTCCCGGACGGCGCCGGGCGGCAGCACGTCTTCTAGCGCCGCCCGGAGAGCCGTGCACACAGCTGTCACCTTGCCTTTTACCCCCTCCCCTTCTCCACCTCCTCCCTCTCCACCCCCTCCTCCCCCTTCCCCTCCCCCTTCTCCTACCTCTCCTCTCATCCCCGCCAGCACCTCACCATACATTCCCCCTCTCGCTGCCACATCCTCCTCTCTCAGACCATAGATCACCTCACTCACGTGCCGTAGCCCCTGCTCTCCCACCTGCCGCACAAACTCCCTCGCTCCACTAGTCCCAGAACCCACATGCACCCCACTACTGCCCACCACTCCCCCCTGCACCCCATTCAAGGCCGCTTCACTCTGCTCCCCGCTGAATGTCGTTCTCCCTCCCAAACCAGCAAATGATCTCCACCCGCCGAAATCCACAAGCACGTTTGGGTCCAGCCTGTGCCGGCGCGCCAGCTCAGCAGCCGCCCGGAAGCGGCGCTGACTCAGCAGCAGCCCCGCCGCCCGGAGCACGAGCGCCCGGTGGTAGACCGATTCCAGACTGCCACGTGTCGCTTGGAGAACCACTGCCGGCTCCCCCTCCCCATCCTCCTCCTCCTCCTCTTCCTCCTCCTCTCCCTTTTCCCCCTCGTCCTCTCCCCCCCTCTCCACTCTCTCATCCCCTCCCACTCTCAGCCGGCCAAGCCCTGCCACCAGGACCGCCCCCCCTTCCCACAAAGGACAAGACAGCAATGATGACGACACCTTCCCTTTTTGTCCTTTTCTGCTGCCGGCCGGCCCGCCCACTCCTGCCCTCGTCCCCTCCTCCGACACCCTGCCTGGGAGTGCACCTGGGAGCGCAACAGAAGCACCTGAGAAAACACCTGAAGAACCACCTGCGCCTCCAGGTGCTCCCTGGGAACCAGAACCCGCCTCTAGAGACAAAGCAAGCAGGTCCCGTGTGACTATAGCGCCCGACACTGTAGTGAAGACAAGAGTGATGACATGGCATGGGGATAAGGCCTGGGATGCCTTCTTAGGCTCTGATTGGTGCGCTGAATCAGCCTTGGGAACTCCGGGGGCCTTGGGAACTGCCATGAAGTGGAGCACAAAGGACGAGCAGTCGCCACACACTGCCGTGGCATCAGGTGCCTGTGGTAACCTGGTTACCACTCCAGTTGTTGGGTTACCAGGAAGAGTGGCAGAACCTACATACAGACGCCCTTTGTGCGATCGCCCCACACATAGAACCACCACAGGTGCTGCTGCTGCTGCTGCTGTTGATGTTGATAATTCTGCAGTCAATCTTGATGAAGACGACGGCTGGATTTGAACCCTCGCCTCCACCACAGCAAACCAAGGGCAAGGCTCGGGGAACCGGAGCACCAGGTCCGTTGAAGATGGGGAGAGGGGCGAGGGAGAGGGGGAAGTGGAAGAGGGTGCATGGGAGGCAGAGGAAGTGGTGGAGGAGGCAGAGGGGGTGGAGGAGGCAGAGGGGGTGGAGGAGGCAGAGGGGGTGGAGGAGGCAGAGGGGGTGGAGGAGGCAGAGGGGGTGGAGGAGGAGAGGTAGTGAAGGAGGGAACCGTCAGCGAGAGATAGGAAGACCGATGACCCACCCTTAACAACCTCCTGCTGCTGCTGCTGCTGCTGCTGCTGCTGCTGCTGCTGCTGCTGCTGCTGCTGCTGCTGCTGCTGCTGCTGCTGCTGCTGCTGCTGCTGCTGCTGCGCCGTTTGCTGCTGCCAATACAGATGCTCTTTCCTCTCTTCCACTGCGTTTCCTCCCTTCAGCCCAGCAGCAGCCGGTGCAGAAACAGTGTGCACAGCAGCGCAAGTGCCGCGGGCCATACCCACTACCTTCTGTTTCAGCCTCAGCACCCCCACCACACTCATCACTGCTCTCTGGACCTCCTTACCCTCCCCACCCCTTCTTAACCCCACCATGCCGCCACACACACTCTCACTGCTGCTCTCCACTCCAATTATACTGCCACTCTCTCCTCCCCCCTTCCCTCGCCTCAGCTCCAACTCTACCAGCAGGTCAGCAAAGTCAACCGAGTCAACAGAACCAGATGCGCCCTGCTCGAGAGTTCCTTCACTCTGTGGTGTGGCGGCAATGACTCCCACCAGGCGGGAGGGGGAGAGCCAGGCTGCATGGCGCATGCGAGCAATGTCACTCCGCGTGATGCTGCTGTACTTGCCGCTGCTGTTTGTGTTGCTGCTGCTGGTTCTAGTGGTGCTGGTGTCAGTGCTGCTACTGGTGGTGTTGCTGCTGCTTTCTAGAGTAGCGATGAATCGCTTGATCTGTGGAAAATCCTCCGCCTCATCATCTTCCTCTTCCTCTCCTTCCCCTTCTTCGTCTCCCTCATTTCCCTCTCCCTCCTCCTCTTCCTCTTCCTCTTCCTCATCCACCCAATCACACCCCTCTGGTCTAACCACCACCCCCACATCACCATTCGAAAGCACCGCTCCCACAATCTCAACTCCACCCTTCTTACCCTTTTGGACTGCTCCACACCCCTCCGTACCACTCTGCACACCAACCACATCGCCGCTCTCCTCCCACCAATCAAACCCTGCCACGTCACCACCTGCCAGCTCAGCACCCGCCACCGCCACCACAGCAGCCGGAAATCCTTCCACCCTATGGCAGTACGGCGGGGGTATGAGTCCTCCCCTTCCCCCCCTGCCCCCCCCGCTCCCCCTTCCCCCTGCACCCCCGTTCCCCCCATGCAGCAGCAGCGACGAGATCCTCAAATCCTGGCCGTCGATCACAGCAACGGTGGGATTGCCGGGTGCAAGAGCGCCAGCCGTACAGATGAAATGGACGGCTGAGATGATCCCGAGGGGGGAGAAGGAGAGGGCGGAGGAGGGGGATTCCGGGTGCCAGAGGAAAGAAGGTAGAAGGGGGAGAGAGGGTAGGGAGGGAGCGGGTGCGGATAGGTGGGGGTGGGTCTTGTTGGTGCGGCACTCGTGCTTCAAATACCACTTGTAGTTGCATCGGTAGTATACTTGAACGGCCAGCCAATCACGGGTCTCCACTGCCACGCTCAGCAGCTGGGAGTCGCTGCTCCAGTCAATTGCTGCCACGTGGCAGCCACAGCAGGGGCAACCAGCGCCAGCTAGGAAAGAATGACAACTGAAAGGTCGCGGGTTCAATTCCGGCTGTGGGCGGGGCAGCCCTGCCAGCTGCATGCGGTTTCTCTCGAGCCCGTTTCGCTCAAAGAACACAATTTCATGCACGCATGCTGATGCTGATGCCCTCAGACTTGCATCCCCTCCTCCTCCTCCTCCTCCGCCTCCCCCCTTCTCTCCTTCTCCTTTCCCCCGCCCTGCCCCTCCCACCTGCCGCACCGACCCAGCTTCAGGAAACGAGGCGTCTTCAACAGGCAGAACCGATGTTCCACCCCTCGCCCTCTCTTCCCCTCTTCTCTCCTTCCCTCCTCTCTCCTCCTCTTTTCTCTCCTCCCCCTTTCCCTCCTCCAACTTGCAGGCAGCAGCGGCTATCAGCGCGCCAGCTGGCTGCCACGCAGCAGGCCCTGTCAGGTGGTCCCCACGTGCCACGTCAGCAACGGAATGCAGGGAGCAATTCTCCCTCTCCCACACTCGCACTACCCACCTCCTCTCAGCTTCCTCACTCCTATCGTCTACCCTACCTTCTCCCTCACTCCCTCTCTCCTCCTCTCCTCCTCCGCCTCTCTCCTCTCCTCCTCCTCTTGGCGATCTTCTGCTGGAAGTTACGAAGAACTTTCCATCTCCACGCCAGCTCAACGACACGTCACCTGGGCCGTACGTGCCAGGTGGCAGCTGTTGATTGGCTGAGAGGCCCTGATAGGAAGAACATGAAAGAGAGAGAAGTGATAGAGAAAAACAAGTTGTGGGAGGAGCAGGTGGGAGGTGAGGGAAGGGTGAGAGGGGAAGGAGTGGTGTGAGGGGAAGGAGAGGGGGAGCGTGGAGCACGAGAAAGGGCGAGAGAGGTGAAGGGATAGAAGGGAACGGAGACAGCAACACCAGCAGCAACAACGGCAGCAACAGAAATGGCAAACAGGATGCAAGAAACGAGCAACGGAAGGAGTTGAAAGCACTGGCCTCAGTGGGTGTAGCGTGTGGCTCGTGTTGTTCCAGAGGCACTTCCATCAGCATTTGAGGCGCCTCAAAAGTTGTCTCTCTACCCGCAATTCTTTTTTTAAGCACCTCAAAAGTCGCCTCAAGAGTTGAAAGCACTGACCTCAGTGGGTGTAGCGTGTGGCTCGTGTTGTTCCAGAGGCACTTCCATCAGAACCTGCATGCACGCATGCCACGTGGCAACGAACAAGTGTTGTTGCACGCATGCCACGTAGACTCAGAAGCTCCATCAGCACACTCATGAATGCATGCCACGTGGCAACATTCACTCAACCCCAACATAGACCCTGGATAAGCTCTAAACCCTTAGCTTGCTCGGACCCCTTTCCAAGAAATATCCTTTCCCTCACCTGCCAGTCGCTAGTCATTGTGAGCAATCGCCCTGCCCCAGTTACCACCGCCACCTCCTCCTCACCCCCCTCTCACAGATAAACCCGTATGCTGCACTACATGCCAGTTTTTATTATATGCACCTCACCTGCCAGTCGCTAGTCATGGTGAGCAATCGCCCTGCCCCAGTTACCACCGCCACCTCCTCCTCCTCTTCATCTGGCGCCCACACCACTGCCGAGTATGCTACACGATAAACTACAGATGCCATGCATAATGCATTGAACCCTCACCTGCCAGTCGCTAGTCATAGTGAGCAATCGCCCCGCCCCAGTCACCACCGCCACCTCCTCCTCGTCTGGCGCCCACACCACCGCCGCCAGCCCCCCCGTCAGCTCCCCCACTATCTCAAACCTTCCGCTCCCGTCCATCCCCCCTTCCGCTCCCCCCATCGCTCCGCGGATCCCTTCCCCCGCCTTTGCTGGGGGGAAAAACAGCCCCATCTCCCCGCGGGAAAACGCCAAAAAGAGGGCGGCATGTGATGGCAGGTAGCGCGCGGATACGATTCTGTCTGGAATGGGAAGATCGCCCGAGATTACTAAGGGATACTCGAATAGGAGCCGACTCGTAGTTAAGTCTAGACCGTAGATAGTACACTCGTCTGTGATGCCATAAACTACAGACCCCTCCGTATCCCATGCCACCGCAACCAACCGCTCCAAACCGAGCCCTTCTGAGAAGTCTCCGCTGCCCTGTAAGGTAGCATTGCGGACGCCATCGGATCGGGAATCCGCGCGTAAGACAGAATCGGACGGCCGTGGTGCGAGGGGGATGCGGTAGCGGGTTTCGGTGGAAACCACCAGATTCTGCATTGTTTCAAAAGATTTGTCAGAATGCTCTCGACCGGGCCTGTAGAATGAAAAAGAGAATACACAACGAACGCAGCCGAACGCCGCCGGGCGCAGGTGCAATCGGGAAACGCGACGCAATTCATAAACTGAACGCAGCTGCGCGGAACCCGTGAGAACGCAGAGGCGAGAACCCAAGGAAACGCTAATCGCCGATGCAAGGAATGGCGATAGCACGCTGGCGAGTGCTGCAATACAGAGGAAATGCCAAGCAACATTCAGACTAGTTTCCGAGATTCCAGTTTTTGAATCACTTCCTCCTCCACACCTTCCAGATTTTAGGGTTTATGCGAAACGGTGTGGTGTGGTATGGGGCGGCAAAAGGGGATGGTGTTGGCGTTGTCGAAGATACTCGATATTGTCAGACAGCTTTCTGTATTGCAGAAGAGATTTGACGCATCAGGTACTTCTAGGCACAGCCTACTTTACTGGGTGTATAGGGTCCAGCAAACCAGATGGCAGCAGGAAGAAAGAATACTACCTTTTTAAATTACAAACCAGAGAACAGTCCACAAACAAGACATTATTAGTACAGACCATAACAACAAGACCTTATTAGGGTGCACAGATTGTGCAATTTATTGTGAACTTTGACCCTTCACTTCCGGTGCCTAGCGAGACTCTCCAAGAGAGCAAAGGAGGCATTGCCTCTGCGTCGGGTGCTGCTGCCGTCCAACCCACCAGTGCACTGCACAGATTGTGCAATTTATTATTCTGAACTTCAACCCTTCGGGTGCCTGCCTAGCGAGGCTCCTGGAAGGGCGAAGGAGGCATTGCCTCTGAGTCAGGTGCTGCCGTCCAAGTTCCAACCCACCAGTGCACTGCACAGATTGTGCAATTCATTATTCTGAACTTCAACCCTTCCGCTGCCTGCCTAGCGAGGCTCCTGGAAAGGCGAAGGAGGCGTTGCCTCTGAGTCGGGTGCTGCCGTCCGACCCACCACTGTGAAAGGAAGTTGCAGATGATTTATCGAGGCACCTTACAAAGGGGATTTTTCCACTGCATCAGGTGCTTCTAGCCCACCGCTGTGAACGGAAGTAGCAGAAGCGTGGCGCTGTCGCTGCTGCTCCTGCACCTGTTGCTGCTGCTCCTGCACCTGTTGCTGCCACTCCTGCACCTGTTGCTGCTGAATATAGGAGTGACTTTTGAGTCCACTGAAAAGTCACCTTTTTGCCTCTGCGTCGAGTCCTTCCGACCCACCGCTGTGAAAGGAAGTCGCTGAAGCTTGGCGCTGCTGCTGCCGCTCCTGCACCTGTTGCTGCCGCTCCTGCACCTGTTGCTGCCGCTCCTGCACCTGTTGCTGCCACTCCTGCACCTGTTGCTGCCGCTCCTGCACCTGTTGCTGCCGCTCCTGCACCTGTTGCTGCCGCTCCTGCACCTGTTGCTGCAGCATGTGTTGCTGTGACTCATGCTGTTGGTACTGGGGATAATGCCCCTGCCGTACCTGCTGCTGCTGCTGAAGCTGTTGATGCTGTTGCTGTGCTTGCTGTTGGTGTGCTTGCAGCTGTAGCTGTTGCTGCTGCTGTGCCTGCTGTAGCTGTTGCTCCTGTTGCTGTGCTTGCTGTTGTGCTTGCAGTATATATGCTTGCTGCTGCTGCTGCTGCTGTGCTTGTTGCTGCAGCAGCTCCCTTAATTCTAAAGGCACAGCGCTGGCAGTGTGCCGACCGTGTGACATGAAACTTGAAGCAGGGGAGTGGGAAACCGGAGGCGATGGTGATGATGATCGAGGGTTACCGCGTCGAGATGACACTTGTAGCCGTGATTTAGTCCTGCAGAAAAAAGAAAAACACACATGCACATACCAAAAAGACACTGGTAGTGTATATTGTTATCTTATCCTCAGCCTAATTGCCTCTGAAACTACTTGTAAGATTGAGACGATGCGTGCAATAACATGGTGTAATCTACCATCATATATCACCTTTCTTTCTTCTCCTTGAATCGAGCAATCGAAGCTTGTCTCCCCGACGCTGGAGGGAGCTCTTTGTAACAACCATACAAACAACACACAAGAGCGTTAGACACAACAATAATACCGTTTTCCAAAGTCGCATTAGGTTTTTTATGAACGAGTGAATGTATCTTACCTTTGTTGATCGTTGCATATGCACGACTCCCACTGCCGCCACTACCCCCACTCCCTCCACTACCCCCCCTCCCTCCACTCCCACTCCCACTCGCACTCCTGCTCCCACCCCCACTCCCACTCCCACTCATGCTTCCACTCCCCCCTCCATCAGCCACACCTCTTCTCTCCCTCTCAGCCACTCTTGCAATCACTCCAGCCCCTCTCGGCTCCTCTTTCCCCCCCCCTCCTCCGGGTCCTCCTAGCTCCTCTAGAGACATGCTATGCTTGAGAGATGGGGGAAATTGTGAGGGTGTGAAATGCCAGTCTGCCCCTTCTGCTGGTGCAGCCGCTGCCGCTGCTGCTTCTGCTGTGGATGGTGGTGGTAGTGGCAGTGGCAGTGGCGGCGGGTGTGGTGGTTGTGCTGTTGCGGTTGCTGCTGCAGGTGTTGCTGTGGCTGCTGCTGCTGCTGTCCCTGCTGCCGTTGAGATTTGAACTGAGGGCCAGGAGGAGGGGGGCAGATGTGAGACTGGGTACTGAACGTACACATGCACGGTGGGTGCAAGGGACGTGGGTGCAATAGAAGGTGAAGGTGAGGGGGAGGTGTGGAAGTGGGCCCGGGGAGGAGAGGGAGAGTGAGAGAGCGAGTGAGAGGCGATGTTAGCAGAAGGATGTTGGTGGGGGCTGGGATGGTGTGGATGCTGCTGCTGCTGTTGTTGTTGTTGGTGGTGCTGCTGCTGTTGCTGCTTCTGCTGCTGCTGCTGCTGCTGCTGCTGCTGCTGCTGCTGCTGCTGCTGCTGCTGCTGCTGCTGCTGCTGCTGCTGCTGCTGCTGCTGCTGCTGCTGCTGCTGCTGCTGCTGCTGCTGCTGCTGCTGCTGCTGCTGCAGCTGTTGTTGGTGCTGCTGTTTCTGCTGCTGCTGCTGCTGCTGCTGCTGCTGCTGCTGCTGCTGCTGCTGCTGCTGCTGCTGCTGCTGCTGCTGCTGCTGCTGCTGCTGCTGCTGCTGCTGCTGCTGCTGCTGCCAGTTGTAATACTGATGCTGCAGTTGCTGTAGAACAGAATCTCGTTCTCTTGCCGAATCACCATCACCATCATCACCACTACCGCCCCCGCTACTCCCAACAGCAGCAGCAGCAGTAACAGTAACAGCATCACCACCACCGGTGCCTGTTCCCCCCAGAACCCCCCTCCCCCTCTCTTGCTCTTCCACAGATCTCAATGGGTGGGACGACAAGGAGGCGAGGGGAGGAGCAGATGGAGAAGAGAAGGGAGCAGCAGAGGGCGACGAAAAGGGAGCAGCAGACAGAGAAGAGACTGAACGAGCAGAAGGATAGGGGAGGGAGGAGAGGGGCGGAGCAGAGAGCAGCGCTGAAAGGAACTGGGCAGAGGAGGAGGAAGGGCCAGAGGCTGGTGAGTGAGGGTGGCTGGGTGAAGGGAGAGAGGAGGGGTGTGGGGGAGTGAGGGTGGAGGGAGAAGGGAGAGGGCTGCGAGGGGTGGAGATGGAGGAGTGTTGAGCGGTGAGGAGGTTTGGGTGGAGAGGGAAGGAGGAGGAGGTGGTGCTTGATCCAGCCAATAGCATGATTGCCTGGGCCTGACACAGGAGGGACAGGTTGAATTCAAGGACACTAGAAGGTAAGATCAGTTCGTTTGAAAAGACAATGGAAAGAGGGAAAGAGGTCTCAGCCGGTAGTTGCCTGGGTCTGACTTAAGATAGATGGAGGGAAGAGGGATGAGGGAAACCACAAAGACTACGGGAACATTACCTGGAATGACTGATTATATAGATGGAGCTTAGGGCCTACATGCACTGAAAAAGATTTCCATTGAGATTGGTTGAATTTTCTACTGGTCGGAGAGAAGAGACATGACAATTTCTCAACCCACTTACTTTGGCACTAAAGTAGGATATCACATGATACACATTCTAAAAGAGAGTGTGGACCAATTCGCTCATACATTCACAGATGGTGATTCGATTCATTGTGCAAATGATGGAGCTCAAAGTTCATTGGAGCTGACACAGCATTGATGATCAACATGCCCAAGGGCCTTGGTGAGAATATAATCGAGGTTTGAGGCGCCTCAAAAGACAGCATTGATGATCAACATGCCCAAGGGCCTTGGTGAGAATATAATCGAGGTTTGAGGCGCCTCAAAAGACAGCATTGATGATCAACATGCCCAAGGGCCTTGGTGAAGATATCAGCGAGGTGCAGTCACTGGTGATGATCAGCACAGCTTATTGTCTCAACTTCTCTACGTTTTTGTCTGTACTGCTCAGTCTGTATTGGTCAACTGATACTTCTCAGTCTATACTGCACAGCCTATACTGCTCAGTCTATACTGTGCAACCTATACTGCTTAGTCTATACTGCACGATCTTTACTACTCATTCTATACAGCTCAGCCTATAACAATCCAAGCCTTGAGCTCGTTGGAACCCTCGTGTTTGTATCTAACTTGACCTAACATATCCCATCTAGTGCTTTGATTTTTACACCAACTTATCTCACCAACTTTTGTCGTGATAAACTGCACCCGAATGCTTCGCCTTTCTTCAGTGGCCTCACTGTGAAACAGGTTCTCCATTGTCCACATGCCACGAAGACCCACACTCCTCAACGGACTAGCTATAGCGAAACCCCATAGCTCAACAATCTCGTGTCGTGATTGCAACCAGATGCTTCGCCTTTCTTCAGTGGCCTCACTGTGAAACGGGTTCTCCACTATCCACATGCCACCAAGTCACACCCTCATTCACTAACGGGCTATAGCAAATACGATTTTTGGGGCGCCTAAAAAATCGTCCCAGATGATTCGCCTTTCTTCAGTGGTCTCACCGTGAAACGGGTTCTTCGCTATCCACATGCCACCAAGTCACACCCTCCTCCTTAACTAGCGGGCTATAGCAAAACCCCATAACCTGACGACCATACCGACCTTTGCCCAAGTGTCAACTTGGTCCAGGCGACGACTGGGTCCAAGTGACGACTGGGTGCAAGTGGCGAATTGGTCTAAGAGAGGACTTGGTCCAAGTGAGGACTTTGCCCAAGTGACGAATATGTCCAAGTGATGACTTGGTCCAGCATTTCTCCACAATCTTGGAAGCAAGTTGTTTACTGGAAACCTCTACAGTCTTTCTTACATCGATTTAGGAAACAAGTCCTGTGTGTAGGCACCATGGTAGTCCAAGAGCTCTTTTTCTCCCCTGAATCTTGGCGACCCTCAACGATCATTGATCTAAAAATGCGACAATTACAGCACTATTGTTTGCATAAAATAGCTTGTTTTTTCCACACCCACACCAAGCATACCAGACTTTTGCCACTTCTTTGTTCGTCGGCTACAACGAGATGAGTAGTGACAGAAAGGAGTCTCGCTATAGGAGGCAAGATTTATAAAGCCCATGTTTGCCAACGTATTAAATTGGATGACCAAGGGTTTCGGGTTTAGAGTGTTTCGGCTAGGGAAACGTTGATACGAGTATGGTACGCTGACAAGCTTGAGTCGGCGACACATGCGGAATAGGATGTTGCATGCGATAGAGCTTCCTGAAATTAGGCCGTTTTGTCATTTGTCAAGAAATTGCTCCTACGTGTTGTGAATGGTTGAGAGAATTCTTCCTAGAGGATAATAAGGGTCGGTGCTAGATATAGCAGAGCACCAAACCATACTCTACCTTCACACACGCTATCCCACAACTCTCGCAGGCCCTTTCCAAAGGCGCGCCATCAGACTCACACTAACAACTCTTCCATAATAGATCCATTGCAGCATACACTAAGCGCTCTACCACAACATGCACTCACCCTGTCGGAAGGAACGTCCTGGTACACGTGGACCATCCCTCCATAGAAGATCGTCAGCTGAGAGGATCCCACAGGAGGCACAACTGGGGGAGGTAAAACTCCCACTCCAGTCCCTTGCCCTCGTTCCGCCGCACTTTCCCCCTCCTGTCGCTGCTGGTGCTGCCGCTGCTGCTGCTGTAGGTCCTCGTGCGGCTGCTGATGATGCTGGCGATGCTCCTCCTCATACTGCTGCTGCTGCTGTGCCTCCACAATGCTCCGAGGCAGCCTCATTCCATGTGCTCGAGGGATGGCTGGGTGCGAAACGGTTGCTCGCGGTACCAGTGGGTGAGCAACCTGCATCGCTTCCTCCCCTGCTTCGCATTCGAGTGGTGTTGTTGGTGGCTGTGGTGCCGATGGTTGAGGTTCAGGTTTCAAATCCTGCTGTCGGCAACTTTCCACTGTATCCGTTTCCGCCCTCCCCCCTCCTCCCCTCCCTCCACCTGATAACTCCTCTCCCCTTAATCCGTCCCCTCCGCCCCTCTCCCCCTCGCTTCTCCCCTCGCCCCCTCGTCCCCTCCCCCTCTCCCCTCGTGCTTCTCGCTCCTTCCGCTTCCCCCGCCGCCCTGCTCTTGTCACAGCTCTTCCGCGCCCTTCCTCCCTGCCTGATGTATCAGATGATAACGCCTCCCCCAGGTGCCCCCTCCCCTTGAGGTGTGCGGGCTGTTGACTTAATTGACTTTGTCCAGTCCTGTGTGGGGGAGGAAGTAAGGGAGGAAAAACAGACAAAAGGAAAAACAGAGGAAATGTAGGACCGGAAGGAAACTATAGCGAAGGAGGGAAACGAAAAGAAAACCAGAGGGAAGGAGGGCGAGAAAAGCGAAACCAGAGAAAAGGAGCAGCAAGGGAGAGGGTAAGACATGGAATGAAACCCAGGGGAGGAGCAGACGGAGCAGCAATGGTAGGAATTACCTCGAATGCACCTACTGCAATCCTTAGCACTCACTCGGATGTGGAAGCAGAGGAGGGTTCCACCTTGGGCACAGAAGCAAGGGCAGGGGAAGAAGACACGGCCAGGGCAGGGGAGGACGGAGGCGAGGCATCCGGTGCAGCAGTGGCAGCAGCAGCAGCGGCCGAAGCATCAGAAATAGGAGCAGTGACATCCGCAGCAGATAAAGCTCCTGCTGCGGAAGCTGATGCTGCTATGGGTGCTGTCGCTGGTGCCGCAGCAGCTGCTGCTGCAGCTCCTGCTGCTCGTCCTCCTGCTGGTGCGGGTGCTGGGAAGCCAAATCGTCTGGCAGAGGAGGAGGCAGCGAACCGTCTGGAGAGGGCTTCAGGGATGGGGATGGCAGCAAGGCGTTCTGCCACTCGGATTGACTCTGCTGGCATTCGGAACGCCTGTGCTGCAGCAGGCGTTGAAAGAGGTGCCGCAGGTGTTGAAAGGGGTGCTGCAGGTGCTGAAAGGGGTGCAGCAGGTGCTGAAAGGGGTGCAGCAGGTGTTGAAAGAGGTGCTGCAGGCGTTGAGAGGAGTGCTGCAGGCATTGCAGAAATCAAAACGGGTGCTGCTACAGATGCCATGGCTGCTACAGGCGTCACGGCTGCTACAGGCGTCACGGCTGCTACAGGCGTCACGGCTGCTACAGGTGTCACGGCTGCTACAGGCGTCACAGCTGCCACAGATGCCTCAGGAACCACAGACGTTTGTGCAGATGCAGGGATTGGTGCAGGTGATGCCACAGCTTGCTGTGGAAGTGGCCAAGGCCTTACTGATGCTCCTGCACCTGCTGTTTCTGCTGTTGGTGGTGTAACCACTACTTGTCCTGCTGCTGCCATTGGTCCTGCTCTTGCCGCTACTCCTGATCCTGCATCTGTTTCTGCTGCTTCTGCTGCTGCTGCTTGTCCTGCGCATACTACGCCTGCTGCTGCTACTGCTGATTTGTGTGCTGATGCCGATCCGTGGGCTGATATTGCAGCCCCTGAAATATCTGAAGCCCGTGTGGCTAAAGACTCGTGCCCAGTCACGGATACCGCTGCTGCTGTTGGTACTTTCTCAGGCACAGATGCTGCTGCTCGTGCTGCTACAACATTTGCTTCAAGACTTACAGCAGCAGCAGCACCAGCAGGAGGAGAAGCAGAAGCAGCAGCAGGAGCAGGAGTGGGAAAATTGCCTTCCTCTTGCCTTCTTTCCACAAGTGAGCCTTCCATAAGCGAAGAGCCAAACAGGCGCACAGATAGACTAGCACCCCTATGGGCTGCCAGCACAGTAACTCCCTCTGCGACAGCTGTAGCAGCAGCAGGTGAACGCGCCCCCTCTGCTACAGCCGTATGCACTTCCTCCTGCCTCAAAAGAAAAGGTCTGGTCGAATGTTCACGGGCAGGCTCTGCAAGACCAGGCAGATCCTGGCTTCGCGGTGAAATGTTTGCAACTGACCGCCAGGGAGAGTCCTCAGAGCTGCTAGTAGCACCCTCGCCTTTGTCACCTTCCTCATTGTCACCTTCCATTTTTTCAAGCTCCGCTCTCTCACCCTCCTCTTTCTCCCCTTCCCCTTTCCCACCCTCTCCTTCCTCTCCCTCCCCTTTCTCATCATCCTTACAGTCACTACTCAATACATGCTCCTTATCACCAGCATCAATGGCATTGGAAGGAGAAAGCGCAACAGCAAGTGGAGGAGCAGGTTCAGGAGCCGAAGTAGCAGCAGCAGCTGCTGTAGCAGGAGGAGCAGGATGAGCAACAGCAAGAGGAGCAGGAGGAGCAACAGGAGGAGCAGAAGCAGCAGTAGCGCCAGCAGGAGACGCAGCAACGGAAGCAGCAGTAACGGTGTCAGAAGCAACATCAGGAGCAGGGGTAGCAGCAGCAGCCGCCACAGCAGCGGCAAACGCGGAGGCGAGTTCAGGTGGGGCGTTGAACCGGGGTAGAGGCGGGATACCCACCTCGCTGGCTGCTGCTAGGAAATCAAGCTGTGGCTGTAGCTCTACTTGTTGCGGCTGTAGCAGTGCTGACTGTAGCTGTGGTTGCTGGGGCGCCTCTGGCAATGCTGCTTGGCTTGCAGGCTCAACCTCCACTTCTAGTTGCGCCTTCTCTCCTTCCTTAGCGCCCTCGGCTGCTGCTACTGATGCTGCCGCTGCCCCTTGCGCTGCGTGCTGTGGTTCGAAAGGCCGCTCTGGCAATGCCACTTGAACTGTAGCCTCAGCCTCCGCCTTCAACTGTGCCGCCTCCCTTTCCTTGGCTTCCTCGGCTCCTCCTGCTCCTCCTGCTGCTGCTGCTGCTGCTGCTGCTGCTGCTGCTGCTGCTGCTGCTGCTGCCCCTTGCGCTGCGTGCTGTGGTTCGAAAGGCCGCTCTGGCAACGCCACTTGAACTGTAGCCTCAGCCTCCGCCTTTAACTGCGTCTCCCCCCTTTCCTTGGCTTCCTCGGCTCCTGCTGCTGCTGCTTCCCCTGCGTGCTGTGGTTGGAACGGAAGCTCTGGCAATGCTGCTTGTCCTGTAGCCTCAGCCTCCACCTTTAACTGAGTCTCCCCCCTTTCCTTGGCTTCCTCGGCTCCTGCTGCTTCTCCTGAGGCAGCTGAGACGGATGTTTCTCCTGCAGCTCCTGTTTCCCCTGTCGACCCATCTGCTTTTCCTGTTGCTGGCTCTCTTGTTTCTCCAGCTGCTTCTGCTGCCCCTGCTGCTGTTGCTGCCTCTGAATCTGCTGCGCCGTCACCACCACAGTAATCATCATCACCACCACAGTAATCATCATCACCACCACCGTCACTGTAACAATCACCATCATCATCACTATCACCATCACCATTACTGTCGTCACCATCACCATCACCACCACCACCACCACTACCACCATCACCACCACCATCACCATCACCACCACCATCACCACCACCACCACCACCATCACCACCACCACTGCCTCTGCTTCTGCCCCCGCCCCTACTGCCGCCATCATTGTCGCTTCCCCTTCTGCTCCCTCCCCCCCTTCCTCCTCCCCCTCCCCCTTCCCCTTCCCCTCCTCCCCCTCCTCCCCATTCCCCCCCTCCTCCTCCTCCTCCGCTTCCTCCTCCTCCTCCTCCTCCTCCTCCTCCTCCTCCTCCTCCTCCTCCTCCTCCTCCTCCTCCCCATCCTCCTTTTCCCCCTCCTCCTCCTCCCCCTCCTCCTCCCCCTCCTCCTCCCCCTCCTCCTCCCCCTCCTCCTCCCCCTCCTCCTCCCCCTCCCCCTCCCCCTCCTCCTCCATCCCCATCCCCATCCCCATCCTCATCTTCACCTCCCTGCCCCTTCCCCTCACTCTCCCCTCCCTCCTCTCCATCCTCGCCTTCCTCTCTTTCTTCCCCTTCTTCGCTTTCCTCCCCTTCCTCGTCCCCTTCCCCCACCCTTCCCTCCTGCTGCTCCCCCTCAGAACCTTCCTCCTCCTCAGGACTATTCTCCAAGTCAATCCTTCCCCGCACCCACCCCCTCTCCTTCCCCCTCTCTTCCGCCAACCCCTTCCCCCGTCCCCCCTTCACTTCCCCACGCCCCTCAACACTTTCGCCTTCTCCCCCTTCAACACTTCCCCTCCCCATCTCCCCCGCGCGCCCCCCCATCATCAACTCCCCGCTTCCGCCCCCTTCCCCTTCCCCGCTCGTCCCCCCTTGCTGCATGGACGCCCCTGGGCGGACGTGCATTTCCACTTCCCCTTCACCAGGCGATTCCGGCCGTTTCAAGGCCTCCGCCCCCTTCCCACATTGTTCCGCGCGCCCCGACGGATCCGCGCGCGATGGGCGCTCCGCGCGCGCAGGAGCTTCCGCCCGTCCAGAGGCTTCCGCGCGCCCAGATTCGCCCGCACGCCTGGGCGCTCCCGCGTCCGCGGATGCTTGCGCGCGTTGAGCGCGCTCTTGCAGGACATGCTAGTGTTGAGCGGGCGGAAAGAGGGAGGTGGACGGGCGGAAAGGGGGAGGGAGACGGGCGAGAGGGGGAAAGGGACGGGCAGAGAGGGGGAGTGGGAGGGGAGATAACGAAGATCGAAAACAATTTACAAATGTGGATTGCATGCCGTACGGTAACGAAAAAATGCACACAAGTTGATAAATGGAAAGCGGATAGCAGCCTCACAAACGGTGGATGAATATAAAGTTGGGTTAGGGAGAGGAGGAAGGAGTGAAAGGGTGGGTGGATGAACGGGCGGAGAACGACACAAGAAGATAAGGGGTTGATTCTAAACGTGCGCTTAACGCAAAAAAATAACTACCAGCAAAAATGATTCCGCAAACGCTAATCTCGCCTCCGCAGAAACTTGCGCCTCCGCGGACAGTTGTGCCTCCGCAAAAACTTGCGCCTCCGCGGAGAGTTGCGCCTCCGCCGATGTTTGCGCCTCCGCGTCCCTCTCTTGCTGCCCCTCGCCAGCACCTCGCGGACCAACCTCCCCCGCTTCTTCCTCTCCTTTCTGCCGCTCCTGCTTTATCCCTCCTGCTTCTGCCTCCCTACGTTCCCCTGTATTGACTGCCCTCTCTCCCTCTCTCGCAGCAGTAGTCGATTCGCGCGGACGCGCCTGCACGGTGAGTGGGAACGGCAGCTGCGAAAGTTCGCGAAGGGCGGCGAGCTGCTGCACGGCGAAGGATTTCGTCCACGACGGCCGTCGCATGCCTGGGGCGGGGATGCGGAAAACAGGGGGGGGACGCGGATTAGTGAGAAACGCGTCAAGCTGAGTCACCGCAAGGGGCAACGCATGGCCGCGCGCTGCTGCACGGCGAAGGGTTTCGTCCACGACGGCCGTCGCTTGCCTGGGGGAGGGGGGAGTGTGGGTGAGTAGAAGTCGCGGATTAGCGGGAGAAAGCAAGTATCATGAGTTGAAGGGCCGCGAGCTGCTGCGCGGCGAAGGGTTCCCTCCACGACGGCCGCCGCATGCCTGGGGAAGGGGAGGGAGGGTGGGGGGTGTGGGACAGAAGAGCAACATGGAATCAGCTACGCTAGCCTTACTGAATACACAAGGATTATTGGAGGAGCCTACGAGGCAAAGCAGGGCCGCGAGCTGCACGGCGAATGATTTCGTCCACGACGGCCGTCGCATGCCTGGGGAGGTGGTGTGGGGGACACCGGGGGTGTGGTGCGGGCACCCGCAGCATTCTTTTGGCGGCGCATAAGTCACGTGGGGGCCTGCTGTAACGTGTCCAGACCACGCCGTACCACGACGTAACGCCACACTAACCTTGTTCTTGCAGCAGCCGGCGGCATTCCTCCCGCGTGAGTTGCTGCAAATCCTCGTCGCTCAGATCCGCCAGTCGCCGCCCTCCGCTGCCGCCACCCTGCTCCGCGCCACCCCTCCGCTCCGCCCCCCCACTCCCCTCAGCTCCTGCGCTCCGCTGCCCCCCCCCAACCCCCTCACCACTTCCGCTCCCCTCACCTCCTCCACTCCGCTCAGCTCCTCCGCTCCGGCTTCGGATCCCACCGCTCTCTACCGTTTCTCGCCGGCGTTTCCGACTCTCTCCCCGTACTACACTACTACCTCCTGCCTCGGGAGCCGCTGAATCGGGACCAGCAATGGAGGGAGAACCTCTGCTTAAAGGCGCAGGTAACGTGGGAGCAGCGGCAAACCCGGCAGAAGCAGCCGGAGCAGCGGCAAACCCGGCAGAAGCAGCCGGAGCACCGGCTAACCCGGCAGAAGCAGCCGGAGCAGCAGCAAATCCGGAATAAGCAGCAAAACCCGCAGCGGCGGCAAAGCTCGAAGCGACATCAGACCCTAGAGGTACAGCAGACTCTAGGGCACGTGACACAGCAGCAGGAGGCGCTGCAGCAGAAGCAGCAGCAGCAACAGCAGCAGCCAGATTCGCAGCAGCAGCCGCGGCGGCACCAGGAGCAGCAGCAGGGTGGCTTGGCCCTATACTGCTCACGAGCCATGAGTTCAAATCAAGGCTCTCTCTACCCCCAAGTCGCAGCTCCTCTCTTCCCGACCCCCCATCACTTACTCTGACTTCCGCCACCGCCCTTCTCGCCACCTCACCGTCAGCTTCCTGCGAGTATAGCGGCCGAGTGCTCCGATCGACTGTCCTCCTAACATCTCCCGGCGTCTCCTGCTGCTCTGCTTGGTCATCGCGACGCGCAAGTACTAGATTGTAGCGCGAATCCCCTAAATCCTGTTCCGCACCGTACGCGTTGTAATCGGAAGGGCTAGGTGGCGAATTAGTAGCCTTGGCCTCTTCATCCTTAGGGGGGTTGCTCATTCTTAGAGATACTACATTCTAGGGTCATAGTAACAGAGCGAGACATGACATTTTAAGAACTAAGTGATAGGATCGACATGACTGCAGACGACCGCGGTCTTTTCATTTAAAATCCTTAAGATCATAGGCTACCCGCGAGTTGAGAATTTCAGAGATTTGCGAAGGCAGAGACGTGAGACAGTCGATGATCAACACTAAAGATGCGTGTCGGAGCCATTGTTGATAGCACCGTGCGTGTGATTAGATCAAACAAAGGAACTTGATCAGCGAAAAGGATCTCCTTAGGTACCGGGAACGCGAAGGTGAGGGAACGGGGTTCTAGGCATTCCACCTGGCAACCTTCGATCCGTCGGATCCAAGTCCGGCTGAGAAATCTACCTCGTCCTTGTGCATAAACGACGGTGCGACCTGCCGTTGTCACACTTCTTCCCATTTAGTTGACGCGTCTTACGTGCCGAGACCTTCCACGAGGAAAAAAAAATATTCCTTCATTCCAGAGTCGGTGATGCTCGAACTATGGAATGAATAATCGCAGATGGCCGACACGCAGTTGCTGATGTGGGAGGACTAAACTATCCATCCACAACCCTCGATCTCTACCCCATTTCGAGCCCTTCCACCCTGACGCCCCAAATTCCGCTCAGCCGAAGATGTAACACGTTCCCAATCAGTCGACGGTCAGGATTGCTGCTCCTCACTTCCACCGCAACCAGCTCCAAATTCCCAAGGTTGGTGTGGCAGTGACCAGACCGCGTTCCAGCCTTGAGATTTCCAAAACTACACATTCCAAAACAACTATTCACCTGATTGGAAGAAGGTGGTGGCAGCATACGCCAGCCAGGAGCGCTCCGTAGTTTCATTCGAGCCGCAAATAATTTCGCCTCAACCAATCCGATGGATTTCGTGTCCAGGCCAACGAAACAGAGAGACTTCAATAATTCCACAAGCGCAGTAAGTCTCTACATACAGCCACCGTTATTTTTAACATAGAAGTTTGCTTACAAGATTGCACATCTTTCACTCACAGTTAATCCCATTCAGGAAGCCTTTTTTAGATTTAGATAATATTTGGATTAAAATTAATAATTAATCCATGACTAGATTTGTACATTCTGTTTTTCTTATGAAGGTATCGCTAATAGTTTTTTTCTGAAAACATCACATATTTGTATCGTATAAATTCACATAATTAACATTTAATTCTTTTATATGGAGATTTTTGAGAAGAAACAAGAGTGGATGAACTATGGATGAAGTGGGTACAAGTACTAACCCTAATTGGGTTGTACCCCCTATGGGATACCCCACTACAGCCTACACAAAAGTATAAGCTATAACGTTCTGACACACCCCCATAGGCAAAGTGGGGGAGAACAAGGGGTCACAAGACCAGTCAAGCAAAGCAAAGCAAGGCAAGCTCAGGGTGGATCACAACGTCACCACACATTCTGAGCACAAGTTCAAGGCCAGAAGGCCAGTTCACATGCAGGAGTACATATATATATAGATAAGGCTAGACAAGCAAGAGCAGGTATATATATATGTAACAGTACAAGCAAGGTCAAGGGGTGAGCAAGTGAGGCAAGACAGGGACAAGACCCAGCTGAGTGCAGAAGCGCTGATGATCACAAGGCGGAAGTGCCTTGGTGAAGACATCAGCAGTGTTGGCCTCAGAGGCCACGTACGCAAGCCGCAACTGACCACGCTGCTGTAGCTCACGAGCAAGGAAGTAGCGAAGAGCAATGTGCTTAGTTCTGTGCTCCAGTCTCTGCTCTCGACACAAGGCCAGCATGGCCTTGTTGTCTACGTACAGGACTGGAGGAGAACGAGGCGGCTCTCCAAGGTCGGTCAGCAGGTAGGCGAGCCAGCGAAGCTCCTGGGCAGCCATGGCCCCAGCGTAGATCTCAGCCTCACAACTGGAGCCGAGAACAGAAGACGAGCGAGTAGCCCGCCACGAAACAGAGCCGGAACCGAGGCTGAAAGTGTAACCCTGTGACGACCGCTGCGTAGCCTGGTCGTCAGCCCAAGAAGCGTC